CCTCCCTTCCCCAGCCTCTGGTACTGGCTACCTGCCACCTAATCTTCCTGAGTCAAGTGCAGCAAGCAGGTGTTTCTTGAAGTCATGCCAGAGGCAAACTGCTGGCATCATCAGGCTCCGTTTTACTGGATCAGCACCTCTAATGAGGACACCGTTTGAAGTTACAAATGAGTGTAGTGGTTGCAGCCGAGCATGTGCCTGGAGCCTTCAATAATTAACAAGTTCTTGGGAAGCTTTAATGAGGTCTGCTCTCCTCTGGAAACATCCACCCAAAATCCTCTGCTGGCACAAGTCCATCTGGTGCAGTTTAGGAGGCCAGAGCAGTTGCACTAATGGATCACGTTTCTGCTATGGAGAGGGGTCAGCCTGGTGGCTGTGGCACGGGTGGCCCACCTGGTGTGCACCTGGCCCCATGCATCCCTGATGAGTCCTCAAAGGCTGTCATCTTGGCACCAAGACTAGGGCAGGTGGAGCTCCAAGTGCTCAGCAAGGTCTACCCAACTTAATGTCTTTGTCCAGCACGTTTTGCTGCCAAAATCTCTTATAAACCAGTGGTAACTGAACATCCAGACCTTCCTCTGATCTGATCTTCTGCTGCTGATGATGAAGTGTGGGTGTTTGAGTGGGTGTTTTTTTTTCCTGCCTCCTTTCTGGTAGCCTTTCTGAAGGGACTGTCACTTGGCAATGCAGGTGGCACATTTGAAGATCTTTTGTGGACTTGCCTTAGCACGGCTGGCGTGTTGCTCCACACCCAGAAGTCTCTGCAAGCACAAAGCAGAACTGCTCTGGCCTCCCTCCAGGGAATGTCCCATCCCTGGCCACTGGGAGAAGGTGTGATAAACACCTGGTATGCACTGGTTTACCTTTCTTTACCCTCTAATCATATTCCGAGAAGCAGCAAAGAAAGGCAAACCAAAAGGCAGAGGTGGGCAGTGAGGCATCCCTGGACAGATGTGTCCTACAGGGAAAGGGGATGCCAGTGCAGAGCAGAGTGTGAGCTGTGCCTGCCTGCAGCTCTGTGGAGCTTGGTGAGGTTTCCCTGCTCACTGTGCACCTGCGGTTCGGTCCACAGACATGAAAGCCACACCTGGAGCTTGGAGCGGACAGAGAGCCTGACTTCAGATTCCCAGTCTGGGATCATGCTGTCCTCGGTGGGAACCAGTAAATGCAACAGCCCTGCGTGCGTGGAGGCGCGGGCGCGGCGCGGGGCCGCCTTCTGCATCGAGGACTCGCGGAGGCCCACGACGCAGTATCGCGACTCGGTGGATTCCCTGCGGGACTCACCGCACAGCGAGAGGTCAGAGCCCCCTGCTTGGTGCCCTCTGAGCTGGATGCAAAACGTTTGCCTCTGCCCGGCTGCAGTCCCGTGCTGGCTCCAGCTCTGGTCCTACCAGAGGAAGCCGTACCCCAGGAGACCACTGTGGTAGGGGCAGCAGCAAGTGCTGCACCCTGCTTACCTGGTGACAAAGTAGGTTTGGAACACAGGGATGACAGGAATGGAAAATACCTGGCTGCACTCAGCAACTGAGCACGCCCCAGGCAGCTTGCTGGGCTGGCATCTCAAGCAGGGTCTGGCCCCCAGGTGTATGGGAAAAATCTCTGGATGGCCTGGTGAGCAGGGATGGTGTATGTGGGCAGAGCTTTGGACAGGACTCTGTATGGCCCAGCCTGCTGGGGAATACAACTGCAGAGCTGAGACAGCATCAGCTAGGGACACACAGCAGCAGTCCTCCTCTTCCTGGGTCTGGGTGCCTATGGGGCATAAGCACATCTCCACCCTTGCTCCATGGTGGGTAGCCATGGGTGACCTGGGTGGCCACTTTGGGGCAGTTACCCTTCAAGGCAGTGGGACTTGTCCATGGAGAAAGTGGAGAAAAGCAGCATCTCCTGCTCTCGGTTTCTGTCCCTGGTCCATTTAGGCAGGCTGACCCAGCTGGTACAGAAGTCTCCTTAGAAAGAGGTGGTGCTGAAGGAGGGGGTGCTTAGAGAGGGGCCACACACTGATGTTGTCACTAGAGTAGACCAAAGTGGTAGATGCCTTTTTTGAGACCAAAGATTTTTGCTAAGTTACAGGAAGCAAAGCCCAGGCTTTCTCTATCTGTGGCCTGAGCAGGGGGAGGGCATTCTGGGGACCTTCCTCGGATATAAGTCTGGCAGCTCTGGAGGGAACAGCTGGCAGGCAGACAAGAGGCAGGGAAGTCTTGACTCAGCCAGCTGGGAGGTGCAGTAAAGTTTGAAGTGATGTAGGGTGGGAATCGTACACAGTCCCTTGGGGGAGTCCCATGGTGCATGGTGCCCAAGTGCCCACCAAAGCCAGTAGTGCACAGTGGTGTCTGGTACCTCCACCTGGTTGCTCAGGAGATGCTGAACTCCAGGACCAGGAGCACTGGAGGCCTCTTGGGTCCCCACACCGGGTGCTGGGCAGAGCACGGGCACAGTGGGAGGTTTCGGGGAGGTTGGTCAGTGTACCAAACCAAGGTGTTGCTTCTTTCAGGTACGTGTCGGCCCTGACCACACCAGCACGCCTGTCGCCTGTCGACTTCCACTACTCGATGGCCACACAGGTACCCACCTTCGAGATCACCTCCCCCAACTCGGCGCACGCCGTGTCCCTGCCGCCGGCGGCCCCCATCAGCTTCCGCGTGGAGGAGCAGCAGCCCCTCCTGCGGCGCTACCAGCTCCCCTTCCAGGACACGCAGAGATACGACAGCTACTACCAAAGGAAGACCTACCTTAATGACAGCATGGGGAGCCTGCCCTCCAGCCCCTTCCGCATCACAGAGGACGACGACTACGAGACGACGCAGGAGTACGTCCCAGCGCTAGAGCATCCAAAGAAAACAGCAAGCAGCAACAGGCGGTGGAAAAAATCCAAACTGAACGGGCATGTCCCTCACAGAGCCAGAACCGTCCGGGACTCCTTCTCCTTCAGCAGCGCCTCTTACAGTGAGTCTGACGAGGAGCTGGTGGCCGAGAGCACCCCGTTCCTCAGCTCACAGAACAGTGACGCGGCGCACATGGGGTCGCCGCGGCTCCAGGGAGACAGCCGGACTCAGCACCCCCGGCACGGCACCCGTGCCCCCCCACCCAACCCACCCAAGCCTGCCAACCCGCAGACAGAACCCGCATGGAGGAGGGAATCGGAAACACAACGGAACAAACAAAAAGAAATATTTTTATTTTCTATAAAAGAGGGGGAAAAAAAAAAGAAAAAAAAATATAACGAATAAAATGTTTTATTTTCATTTTAGCAAAGTTGTCTTATAATAGCTAACGGCAATGACTTTTTTATAGGGAATCTCTATTTATATGTAATGTCTTGATTTACAGCTTCTGAGAAAAAAAAAGTAAAAAAGAAAAAAAAAAAGAAACAGAAGAAGAAAAGGAAACAAACAATAAAGTAAAAAAAAAAAAAAGTGGGCCAATTTTTGACTACTTAAAAATAGAAAACAAAACTATCGTGGTGCCTTTTGCTGTATGCTAGTGCTGGGATTCATGCCGAGGATTCTGTTTCAGTAGCAATTTTAAGATCATAGATTTTTGTTTGGGAGCCAACGTGTCACAAGGGCACTCTCCCGTTGGGAGAAAGCAGCCCTGCCACTTTGCCCCACACCCTGCTATTAATGATCTTATTCTTTAAGGTATCATTTAAACACACATCAAGGACATGAGTGGGAGCATTCCATTGTCATGTCCAACAGGGCTCTGTCGTGCCCTGTGAAATAATTGTATTGTTGCTTAAATCAGGAGAAAAAGAAACCCAACAGCACTGTACTGAAATGCAGAAATGATGTTTCTTTTGCCACACAGGCAGGGAGAGAACATGAAGCGGTGCAGCAGCAGCAGCTCTTGCAATACAGCTGCCAGGCTGTGGCCATGTCACCTGTGGGTCTGACGCTGGGTTTGTGCCAGCTGGGGGTCAGGCAAGGCAGAAACCAGTATGGAGGTGGTGAAATCACATCCCATCCCATGTGGTTGGATCCTGGCAGGTTGGCCCCGGGTGGGCGCCATCCAGCTGCAGTGCCTGGTGGCTGTGCCAGGGCTGTGCTGACTGCAGTGTCCCCTTGGCTGAGCCTGCAGCC